GTGTTGCTCTTTGAAAAGGGACTAAACCAAATAATCCAGGACTGTTGAACAGCTAGAATCCTTTATCCAACCAGAAAGGATTAATACTCCCCCCAAAACCTGCAGATCTGGTCTCCTCAGGTCCACCAAAGATACCCGATCTGGTCTCCTCAGGTCCTGGTTGTTTTTGGACTGTTGCTAACTGAAGAGGAGATGTTTCAGGGTCAAACCTGGACCTGGATCAACCATCCAATTCAAACTGATCTTTTTTTTCTTTTTTACAAACTGGTACATTATCTTAACTAACATATGGAGCAATAAACTATATTTCATTGTAAATAAAACATTATTCTGAATTATTTCAATCACTGTTTTAATTTTACTTTTTACACAACTATCCAAGTCTTTCAGGTTGATTTCTGTACTTCCTGTTTTACTTTAAGACAGATCATGTCTGCAGACTGAACAGTAGAAACAGATTATATTAATAATCCKAAAACAGAAGAACATGAAGAGCTCTGAGTGTCTGGGATTTGTTGCATCTTGTTTAGTCTCACCCTCCGATAGTGAGCTGTGTTCCAACACACCCATCTGCACAAGTCAGAAAGACACGTTTTCTTTCAACTAAACTGACAGTTTCAGTCCAACTCTGTGAAACACCTGTAAAATGAYATCAGCCGGTTTTATTCAACTTCCTCATGAGCAGAAAAACAACTTGGAAACAARTCAAATGAGACAAAAAACAAAGTTTTACTGTTTGGGAAGAAAGAAATGTAGTTTGTAGAGAAAGGCTTCCAGTTTGAAAGCAGACTTCAGAATAAAGGTACAGAGTTTCACTGCAGGCTGTTGTTTTCTTCAAAGCCTTCAGGCCTCAGCAGAAAAACGTTTCTCTGCAGGAGATCCTGCCAAGACCTGGAGCTGAAGGTTTTACACAYACCTCCAACACAAATCAAGGATAGAAAAATAAGGAAGCACTACTGTAGAGATGTTGAAACATGAATAATCTTTACAGGTAAAATAGAAGTCTGTTGTGTAAAAGTGATGAGTTTATTATGTGTAACCATCACATGGAACTGAGGATGAAAACTAAAAGTGGTGCAGAAACAGGCAGGTAGTGTTTTGATTCAAATGTTCGCTATAATTACATTTTGTCCAAATATAAACAATTTGTCTTAATAAATCACTAGAATGAACGTCTGAAATACAGTATAATCCTACAACTGAAGCAATTTTTGTTCCATCCATCCATTTTCTTCCACCTATCCGAGGTCGGGTCGCGGGGGCAGCGGCTTCAGAAGGGAGGCCCAGAC